TTTGAACATAAAAAAAGACAGCACTGTGAAGTTTCCAGTGGGTTCGATTAGTGTTAAAGAGGAAACATGATGCTTGTTTTGATCACTGAATGTCTGGAGCAGCCTGTGAGGTGACTTCAACTCCACAGTAACACACAATGCTAGTCAGCTCGTAACATCTCTTGTACTTCTGTCGTTTTTACTGTGTGAGAGAGATCAAAAAAGAGCCTAGAACTTCTGGATACAACATTGTGTTGGGTGCAGCCTCGGTGACTTTAATACACAAATACATAGATCACGACTATCAGCCCTAAGACCAAAGAAAAGTTGCCAGCTTTCAAATATTGAAAACACTATTTCCACCATCCTCGCCTCCTCCTACATACTTTTGTTTGTTTGGAAACATGGTTTCATGTTATCCAGGCTGGGCCAGAACTCATTATCTGGCTGGGGCAAGCATTGAACTTTTGAACCTCCTGTGTTGGCCTCCATGCTGAGATTACAGGTGAGTGTCATCATATCCTGCCTAACAATAAAATCTCTAAATACTGTTTCCCCAATAAGGCAATTACATCTCTACAACAAGCTTGACAATACGCATAAACAGCATGGAGATACTGTAAAATAACAGTACAGCAGTGTAACAAAAAGGGCAGGAAATATCAGCAGATACAGCACAACAAAGAAACAGAAGAGGGAAACAAACCCAATCAGAAAATAAAAAGCCACAATGGCCAGGTCACAAATGAAAACAGACATTACAGGAAACATACTAAGAGGCATGGCAGATGACTCAGCTGTTAAGAGTACACACTGATCTTGCAAAGGACCTGAACTCAGTATCCTGCACCAATGTCAGGAAGTTCATATCTGCCTGCAACTCCAGCTCCAGGGAATCTAACACTTTCTTCTGGCCTCTGTAGACAACTGCACTCATATACACAAACCCTCACATATGCCCACAAATAATTAAAAAGTAAAATTTAAAAAAAAACCCAAAACTTTAAAAAGGACTTCGAACTTAAGAATAAACAAGCATTTCAAAGACAAAGAAGCTGACTATAGAATTTTAACATTGACCCACTACATAATTTCAATCAGGTACAATGTTCCACGTAAGTATTTCTGTATATAAAAGGCAATAGGAAGTATGGTCCTTGCAATCTTTAGAAGTAAAAGCTATGGAACATGACTCAGAGGCGAGCTTTACTATCTTTACAAGACAGTAAAAGGGGGCTGGAGCGATGGTTCAGAAGCTAAGACCACTGGCTGCTCTTCCAAAGGACCTGGGTTCAATTCCCAGCACCCACATGGCAACTCACAATTGTAACTCCAGTTCCCGGGCATCTGGCATCCTGAGGCAGGCAAAATCCCAACATAGACAGTAAAGGAAGAGCCAATAGCTACAGAACAGTCAGAATATGAATTTTAGAAATAATGGCCAACAACTCACCAACATTATAAAAAATACTTTGTTCCTATAGCACCCTGGACTAATTATGGACAAGCCAGTGTTCTTATCAAGTCAGCCAGTAAAGTAACTCTTTGTTGCATAATGTCCAAGTAGTTTTTGCCTCTATTATTTGCTTATTTGGTTTTATATTGTAGTCTGATTTGGTTTACAGAGTGAGAGTATATAACAAGGGCAGTCACTTCTAAAATGGCTACTCTTGATCGCTAGAAATTTCTCCAAGAAGAACTTTGTGGCCATTAGATCAAAAGGTTAATTTTCCTCCCAAGTCATTCAAACTACAAGCAGCTCTGGTCCTGTTGAAATTTCTCCAGCTTCTCTGGCCTGTCACCTTGGAAACATCACAGCATTGGACATCATGAAGAACCCCAGCAACTCATTTTTACTTTCCTATGCCTGCACTTGTAGCGCTGATATGGAGATGCCTTTGCTAACTGTGTCTCAGACATCTCTATTCCTTTGGTCTATTTCAGTCTGCACAGAGAGGAAATATTTTTCTTCCCTCTTTGAGTCCAGTGATTGTATTTATATTCTTCTATTTCTAGTGTAAAAAGTATGGTGTTAATCTAATAAACTAATTTTTAAAAGAGTTCACGTTGATGTGTGCGCGCACGTATGTTGAGGTTCCCTTAGAAGCCAGGACAGTGTCAGATCCTCTGGAACTGAAGGTACAGGTGGCTGTGAACCACCCAATGTGTGTGCAGCCTCTGCAAGAAGAGCGAGTGACCTTCACTACCGAGCCATCTCCCCAGCCCAATATAATGGACTTAAACAAGCCAGGCTCAACCAACAAAAATGCCTTGCTTTGGGCTGTATATTATGGTGGCCTCCAAATTGTTCTGGGCATACAATACTAGTAAATAGTACACAATTTGGTAGCACAAAATGCTCAGTAGAAATACATGCAGCCTATATACACATGTGCTACTCTACTAATATATTATGTAACTATAAAAATATAAAAGAAAATAGCTAAGTAATTTAATACATAGATTTTATTATTAGTGGCAAATAACTGTTATCACTAGAAATTATTCATAGCATTTAATAATAATGTGATTTAATTTACTTTATTATTTTGGAACATCCTCACTTAATCCTTTCTGACTGAGCAATTTAAAGTTCAATTTGTTTTGAGACTTGGCTTAAAGAGCTGTCATAGAGACCTCATTAAATTATACAGCTCTAAATGAGACCAGGTGATCGTGGCCCTGATACCTTCAGCTTTTAGTTCCAGCCACCGATAATGAATGAAAAGGTTTAGCCAGTTTTGAATGTGCTTAATTAATATTGTTTTGCTACTCCTGACTGAGACTCAGAAATGGGCATCTACCTTTCCTGATATCACAGGTAGGCTTTGAAAACGTATTAAGGTTTTGCGCCTTGGTTTACAAAAAGTAAGTTTTAATTTATTCTCTGACAATTTTACACACGTATATAGGTATTCTGGTTATAGCCATTCCCCATCCCCTTCTCTTATCCCCCTGCCATGCCCTCCGGAATCCATCGGCTTCTCAGCACATCCCCTTCTTACTCTCCTGATGTGTTTTAATGACCCGAGTCTAGGAACAAGCACGTGCATGGGTGTGGGGTTAATTACCCCTGGCCACACTCCTGAAGACAGATGTCTGCCCCTTTCCCCAGCTACCATTCATTGTCAACAGCTCCCCAGGAAGGGGTAGGCCCTCAAATACCCCTTGCCCATACATACTGTTACCCTTGCAACAATTTAAAACTGGAAGATGCCTTAAAGGGCTGTAGTAGAGTCTTTTCCCCAAGCCTGGTATGATGGTACAGACATGTAATCCTAGCTACTCAAGTGGCTGAGGCACTATAACACAAATTTAAGACCTTGCCTGAGCCACACCCAGAATGAGTTTCAGGCCAGTAAGGAGGTCCTGCCTGCAATAAAAACTACTAAGTGAGCTGAGGTTATAACTCAGTGACAGGGCGCCTATGTAGCATGCAAGAGGCCCTAGATTTAAGGCCTAATACCAGGAAAAAACTACATATTTTTCTTCAGAATTCTCTATAAGGTAGTATTTATTATAACCATGTAACAAACACTTAAAGGTCAGCAAATCTGGGCAACATATATATATATATATATATATGTATGCATGCATATGCATATATATTTCCATATATTTGGAAATACATGCCAATTTTTAATTCCTCTCAAAACCTACTACTGTAAGGCAGATATTGATTTTCACTGCTCACCTCATCACGAAGCACACAGACAGATGCTAATACACATTGAAGAGCCTGCTTTGACAAAATCATCTACGTTCTCCGCATTCACTTTGTATGTATCAGGATACATGTTCTCCTTCAACAGCCTGCTCAATGGCTTGCTTGTGAGTGAGGCAGCAAATGAATTTCATATATGTCACTGTTGATGATAATGCGCCCAATCCTTATTCAAATAACCTGCTTGATAATTTCTATTGAGCAGGGCTGGCTTCCAGCCAGATTCCATTCAATTTCTTTTCTCCCAAAAGGGAATGTCTGCCAGATGTCCCCCAAGATCCATCCCCTCCGCTCTTTCTCCTTCAGAATCAGAACCTCTATTGAGCAGGCACAAGTCTGCCCAAAGCCCCTCTGTCTCCCCGGCATATACAAGCAGCCTTGAACCTCAGTGTTGGTCACTGGGGTGGTGAGGGGTTGACATAGAACCTCAAAAGCAGAGACAGGGCTTCTGTCCTTTCCTCTCAGCTGCTGATATTCAGATCAGATGGCTGTAATTTCAACATCCACCCTAAAGAAGCGGCCAGGAGTTAAAGCCACCAAAGGAGCAAGAAATGGGAAACCGAGGCTCCTCCTAATTATGACGTTACCATGCAGGCCTGGGTTGCCTGCGTTTACTGGAGAGAAACACATGCATATCTTTTGTGCAGGCCTGGGTTGCCTGCATTTACTGGAGAGAAACACATGCATATCTTTTGTGATCTCTCAGTATCTGGGCTTTTCTGGATGTCGCTAGTGATTAAAGTCTATTCAATATACCTGGTGACAATGGATGACGGGCTCAAGTTAAGGATCAGAGAAAGGCCACTCGCCTCCACATGCTGATGCTAGTGCCATGAGCATTACCATCTGCAGGTTCCCAACACAAACTGCCTTCAGGCCACTTGCTCGTTTTGAAGACATGCACTTAAGGTGTAAACCACACTGAATGGCAGCAGCTTGGGAAGCAAATGAACGAGGGGCCACCACTGTGCCTCCAGCTCTTCTCTCCGGCTTGAAAACCATGTGTCTCCTTGCTGACAAATGCAGACTATATCAAACACCAATAAAGCTTTATGGTGACACATAAACTCACACGGTTCTCCTTTTCCTCTCCTTATAAGCCCCTGTCAAAGAGGCAGCTAGACCCACAGCTAACTACAGATTTCTCTCCTGGACCATAAAACTAGGCTGTAAGAGGGAAATGTCCAAAAGCGAAAAGTCAGCATAAATGAGGGTTCTCTGTTAAACTGAAAATACTTGAGAGCAAATGGCAAATTCAAGGGTAAATGGATGGATGCCGCAATCCTTAGCACTGTACCTGAACACCTCCAGCACTGTCCTCTCCGGTAGCTTGGGAGCCACTCGACTAAATGCCCTTTTGAAATCTTCTAGAGTTAAAAATCCACGATCTATAAATGAAAACAAAAAATTAAGCATTCACTTACTCCTATAAACCCTGTGAACTATGACTTCAGACATAATAGATATGGAAAGTCAAATTTTAACATATTATTAAGATTAGAAAAAAAAAGCAGTAATTTGTAGTTGATCTTGCATAGGTCATCACACACCCAGTGAACGCGACTCCCTGGAAGAATTTCAGAATGCGATAGTGATACATTTCCCTTTGGTGCCGTCCTAGCTAAGCTGAAAGGCCTCTGCCAGCCTTGCACTTTCTGGGTCTCTAAGTCCTAGGGAAACGACGGCATAGACAAGACTGTACCGAGGCCCTGGGCTTCGAGTCTTCGTGACCTGCCAAAACATCAAAGTCTTCCAAACGCGTTTTCCATCCTGGCAATAGACCGACAACATATTGATATCTAGGGGAAATCACAACCGTAGCCAGCGTATGAATCTTGGAAGCCACAGCTTGTGTGGAAACTGATTCCCCAGTCAGGTGTGGGTCAAAGTGAGAGTTGCAGAAATGTCTCCCACACATCATGCATGACCTGTGGCGTATATCCCTGTAAAGCCAGTCCTTTGGCTATCACCACTACAACACAGGTACAACAGACAAGCACACAAACCCAGAAACTTAGCACCCCGAAGTAGGAAACCAACATCTGTGGTCAAAGCCACTGTGTGTGGTCGTGATCTCCCAAGTATATATACTGCACCACTGGGGATATATCCCCATTCACAACTCCTCAGCAGCGATTCATACATGAGAACACTTTAAGATACTTACAGTGCGTGTCAAAAGCTGTGAAGATGTGCCTTATCTCATTCCGATAGAGCTGTGCTTCCTTCTTTCTCTTGACGACATCTAAGAACCCCTCAAGTGAAATACCTACAAGTTTGGGGGAGGGGGAGAAAACAATTTGCCCAAGATGACTACATTCTTTCTTTAAAAAAAAAAAGAAAAGAAAATTCCAGACACAGCAGTGCAGTGACAAATATCACAAATAATCTGGGTTTTATCTCTCACAAAGGGTACTTACTCATAAACACGGTCAGAAAGACATCTCATGGTGCTTCATATGCTAAGCAAGCCCAACCCTAGCAATCAGTCCTGAAAACCAGAGAAACCAGAGACAGGCAGGCTCCCTGGGCTTCTCAAGGGATGGAGGATCCATGACCTTGAAAAAGTTAAACACTCTCCCTCTGGTGGATCCAAAAGGCAGGCACAGGACCTCTTACTAACGAAAGGTGTATAATCTTCGTTCCAGTAGGCTGCTTTAATATCCCCCGCCCTTTTTTTCCTAGCCAGATGTCATTTCAGCAGGTTTCCCCCACCCCCAACTGGGAGACAGGGTCAGAGAAGTTGTTTCCCAAAAGTCAATGCCAATTGTACGCCACAGATAAAGGTGCAGAGAATACTACATAAACAATAGAGCTGGCACTATCCCCAGCACCGAATACACCCCACAACGTGTTCGGCAGCCTCAGGCTCAGCTTCCTGCAACTTTTGTAATGAAAGAGCCCAGCGTGATGATATGAGGTTGGGCACTGTGCTTACAATGTCTATTAAAATGAATTCGAGTGTGATCTTTGTAGCAGGTTTAAGGAGCGGAGCCAAGAATGCAGACATTTCAGTGAACTGAGCCTGAAATATATACAAAGAGCATAATGTGGGATTTCCATTTAAAAGTTATCATTTTGCTTTAAAGATAGACCCAAGCTATATAATAAGTGTGTGACTCTACTGTTTGGGCAACATAACTAATAATATGGAAGCATATGCTTCAAGAGTTTACAGTGTTAAAACAATTTTCTTGGGACTGGAGAGATGGCTCAGGGGTTAAGAGCACTGACTGCTCTTCAAGAGGACCCCAGTTCAATTCCCAGCACCCACATAGCAGCTCACAACTGTCTGTAATGCCAGTTTCAGGGAACCTGACATCTATGGCATAAACACCAATGCACATTAAAATAAATAATTTTCTTAATTTTAATTTTTTCTTATTTGACATTAATGACTTATAAGCTTTTTAAAAAATCTATGTAGCTTTATGATTTTTTGTTTTGTTTTTGGTTTTTTTGGTTTTTCAAGACAGGGTTTGTAGACCATGCTGCTCTCGAACTCACAGAGATTCGCCTGCCTCTGCCTCCCGAGTGCTGGGATTAAAGGTGAGCCACCGCTGCCGCCGCCGCCACCACCTGGCTGCTTATGCATTTAAATGATTATTTTACAAGTTTTAAAGGCCACTATGTGCCGGCCCCTGGAGTAAATGCTGGAGGTGGAAGGTGAAGGAGAGCATGGTTCCAGTTCCAGGGGAAACAGTGTACTCTGGGAGGCGGCCATCGTGCAGTCTGACTGCAAGTGCACACATCCCTGAAAACTGGCAGGGCAATGATGGGGTGGGAGGCTGTGCAAGGAGTCCTTGTAGCACAGGCTGGAGCAAGGGGCTCTTAGGGAGGAGATATCTGAGCTAAGACCTAGGCCATGAGAATACAAGTGGCTACAGAATGGGAAGGGAGAAATCCAGACCGCGGAACAGCATATGCCAAGGCCATGGGTGGGAAAAGAAAGGCCATGCGCTCAGAGAGAGAGGGGGGAAGAAATACAAAACAAAGTTGACCGGGGACACAGGGCCTGAACTCTCAGCCCTTGGGGACTGAAGCAAATAACAAGGGCTTTACTGAAGTTGCAATAGGAAGCCAGTAAAAAGGTTTTCGCTGAGGAGTGATATGATCTGATTTAGACTTTGGAAAGGAGGAGGCAAAAGCCCCATGGGGACTACCAGTGGGGGGGGGACAGGGTGGGAGGCCAAGCTTTAGAACAGAGATGATACAACTCGAGGACTCAGATGTAGCAGGTGAGATGTCAGATGCAATGCGGAGGTTCTGGGTTGAGTACTCAGTGGTCTGAGGTGTCAGTTAAAGGGATGAAAAGGCCCGGGGGGGGGACAAGCAAGATCAGGGGACAAAGTGCTGTGGTGTAAATGTGTTAACTGTACGACACTTTGGAAACAGCTAAGAGGAAAAATGACCAGGAGGCAGCTGGCCTTACTCTTTAGGGAGCAAGCATTATCTCCCAGCTACAATGTCCAGCAGGTATTCAATAAATACAGTCATCATGCCCATTGGTGTCCATGGATGATGGGGGTTGCAGGGCTCACCCGGAAGATGTCAAAGCTGGAGGATGCAAAATTCCCTTATTCAAAACGATGTAGTGTTTTCAGTATAACCCTACACAACAGTCCTATAAACTTTAAGTCATCTCCAGATCACTGGTAGTAGCTAATGTAACATAATCTCTATGTATGTAATTGGACTGCATTGTTTAGGCAACCATGATGAAGAAAAGTCCACACGTGTTCGTTCTGATGTATTTTTTTTCCCAAATACTTTCCACTGTTGTTGGCTGAAGTGCAGCAACTTTGGAAACAGAGGGTAGACTGCACTGACTTAGTATATGCAGTATTTTTCTTCCTGTAGTTGCTAAGGACAGAGATTGATGCAGCTCCATTCCCATCTAATCACCCTGTGACCAGAGAACATATTTTAAAATGCTAGCTGAGGTTGAAATTGAAGTCTAGCCATGCATGTTCCCAAAAATCATATCCATAACTTTAGTTTCATGAACTTCAAAAGCTAATAAATTAAATCACATCTAGAGTTGTTGAGATTCCTGAATAATTTATTCATGGGTGGTGTGCCATCTGTAAGACCCATCAGCATCCCACCCCAGTCCGTGGTCCAGCCCCTCTACCAAGCATCCTGATGCTTCCTGTATCTACAGGCTCTTTGTGCAATCTATAAGACCCTTCAGCATCCCACCCCAGCCCGTGGTCCAGCCCTTCTAACAAGCATCCTGGTGCTTCCCACATTCACAGGCTCTTTGTGCAATCTCTAAGACTCATCAGCATCCTACCCCAGCCTGTGGTCCAGCTCCTCTAGCAAGCATCCTGGTGCTTCCTGTATCCACAGGCTCATCTCACCTAGGGCCCTGGTGCATGTGAACACACTGCCTGAAGCACCTCTTGCTTTACTTCTCCTAGTGAATTTTTATCACATGCTTCCTTCCAGAAGCAACTAAAGCATCATCTCCACTTTAAAGGTTCTCTGATGTTTCTCGGCTGAGTCCCTTTGCTGTGACCAGCAGCCCAGAGGTCACAACATGTGGCCTGACCACATATCTAGCTAAGAGATGCTAGGAAAACGAAGTATGTGCTGTCCAAAAAGTTCATCTTCAGTGTTCAGCATCAAGTCGCAAGAAGCATTTGTTACAAGCTTGCCAGGTAAGTAACATGTCCTGAATAAACTGAATAAATAAGAATGAACACTGAGATATCATTTCTAATTCTCAGCCAAAAAAAAAAAGAAGTGTTAAGTGGGTGTTTTGAATCATCTTTAACTCCAAAAAAGTAACGGCAAAAAGTGAGTCATTTTTTATTTACACGGCCAGTAAAATAAGTCATACTTTAGGAAAGAAAACAGAATTCAGAGAGAGAGAGAAAACACATGCCTAAGGTCTGCTCTGATCTCTACAGTTCACTCAGAGAAATAAGGGTAGAGTAAAGCTGCATGCTCAAAGGGAACATGTGAATGTTGTTGTAATGTTAATTACATATTCAGAGGACACATCCATATTTGGAGTTATAAAGTATGCAGGTCATCATTTCACAGTTACATAGTAAAATAAAAACAAACTAACGTTCTTTAGTTTTTAATAAAAAAAGTAAATTGTATGTTTACTACTACTTGAAATGAAAAACAATCTAATAACACAAACAATACTATTATGAAAAATCATGTCTTTTCATACTATTACCCCCCACAGGTCATATACCTCATATTTTAAACTTAGTGGGGGGAGGGGATCAGAGGCACAGGTTCACATTAAACCGTGTAAACATATGGTCCACAGCAGGCCTTTGGGTTGTTTCCCAGGGCCACACACATCCAAACGCTAGCCTGTTTTCTGAAGACTAAGTTTTCATTTAGCACAGCTTTCCTGCTGCAGTGCCACAATCGCTTTCCAAAGCTAATACTTAATAATTTACTATTCTAAAGCTTTGCTACAAACAGAGTGATGCAAGGTTTGTCTTGCTGTCTTTTAAATGGCCTAGGGATAGAATTCCCACTACTAGCTCCACCTGCTGGCGCAATATTCAAATGGAAAATTACCACTTCAAAAGGACTAAATAACTCCATTCAAGTCAGATTTCATACCCAATGCATTATCTGCGCCCTCCACCCTGGAGCAAAAGAGTATGTTCTAGACAATTCTAAATTCTAAGTTCAAACATAATATTGAGTTCTCTATGTACACTGCTCCACTTCAACAGTTACCTACACACACACACACACACACACACACACACACACACACACACACACACACTGGAGTTACAAATCAGGATCACAACACTAATAACACCAAGAATTACAGGGTCTGGCTGTTTATTTGTGTTTCGTAACAGGTCTACAGATGTGGACACAACCTGCCAGGGTATCCAGACCTACTGGTGCTTTGTAGACTTTTTTTTTCTGTTAGCAAGATCTTTTTGAGTAACAAAACAGCGCCCACATTTCCTTGTTCGGCAGTATCACTGGGAATGGACCCACAAGATGCCACACTAAGGCTCACAGCTTATAGTGACTGTCAGCTCCCTGCCATGCTGACAAATGTACAACAGACAGCCGAAAAGAAGCAGAGGTTTATTTTTGCCTCTTGTTTCAGATAATTCAGTCAACGACCTAGTGTCGTGGCTGGAGGGAGTGCATGATGGGAGAAACTGTCGCTTTGATAGTATCAGAGATATAAAAATAAGGGTGCCCAGCTATCCCCTTCAAGGGCACATTTAATTTCTTTGCATTGGGGCCTGCCCCCTAAAGCCCCCC